GTGATTGACAGTCATCGCTCTCTAGTCACTGAAGACTGAGAACGGATTGATCAGCGGTCTTTGATCACACAGTTCTTGGTCTTAGAGGTGGCAGGACCAATTCAGGAGGAGTAGGAAGTCTTAGGCAGGCTGCCCTAGGTAATGTCCATATGTGATGCTGAGCCCCCATGGTTTGAAGATCTGTAATTCTATGATTGAAAGATAGCTGAAGACAGTAAGGCTGAGTAGTAAAAGCTTAAATGATGCTAGAAGTCCCCCAGCCAAGAAGTATAAAAAATAAGGATGTGGTTTTGAGCCAGCTGATTAAGTCGCCTGAAAGATCCCGTTGGCTGTAATATATCTTTGACACTCCCTACAGGCTTTCAACAGCTGTCAGCCTAAGGTAGACCTGATGTGTTATGTTCCTCCCACAACACCGAAAACAAGCTAAGAATGCCAACTTTAAATGATTGCTTTAAAACATATCACATTCACCAGCACTTTGTTCATTTAAATGTAACTGGTTAATGTTAAAGAGGACCTAAATTGTGGAAGCTGTGCCCAAAAAGACACCAGAAGGGCAACCAAACTAATAAGAGGCATGGAGGAGCTCAGCTATAAGGAATGTTTAAAGGAATTGAAATGATTCTCTCTTGAGAAGAGGAGAATAAGGGGGATATGATCAACATGTATAGATACATCAGTGGTTCATATAGTGAACTTGGTGTAGAGTTATTCATCCTGAGATCATCACAGAGGACAAGGGGGCACTCTCTATGAAAAGAGATTTAATCTCCAAACACGGAAAGGTTTCTTCACAGTAAGAGCTGTGAAAATGTGCAATAGACTCCCTCAAGAGTTGGTTCTGGCCAGCACAGTAGATTGCTTTAAAAAAGGCCTGGATTCTTCCTAGATATGCAGAATATAACTGGATACTAACATTTGTAGGTAAAGTTGATCCAGGGAATATCCGATTGCCTCTCAGGGGATCAGGAAGGAATTTTTTCCCCTGCAGGATCAAATTGGATCATGCTTTGCCGTGGTTTTATTTTTCCTTCCTCTGGCTCAACTGTGTGTATAAGATTATAACTTTTTTTTTTAATTTTATTTTATGGTTGAACTAGATGGACTTTTGTCTTTTTTCAACCAGACTAACTACATAGGGGATATGTAAACATGGAATACAAAGGAATAGTGAGCAGTATTACTCTGACAACTACTCTTCTCCCCATTACTGACTTGCCATGAATTTTTCAACATTATGCCTTTGTGTAGAGGTGGCCATATTAGTAGATAAGCAGGGTTTTTTCTCCTTAAATCAAAGATTCCCAGGTACAACCCCACCGCAGTGACTTTACCAAATCTCATGACACTAGCAGTCAATGGCACACTGCCTTAGGATATCCATACACCAGTACAAATTTGCTTGAACATTCCTATGGAAATTGTTAATAATTAATTTGTTGGAGCATTCCATCTTCCCATCATTGAGTCAACTAATTTTATTTGAAAGTCCTTAAAATGTTGTCCAAACCTGCTACTTGAATGGAATTCCAGATCAGGGACGGACTGACCATTTGGAAACTCAGGTACTGCCCAAGGGCCCGGGGTCAGTAGGGACCCCCATAAGATGCCCCCTGGTACCTTTTTCATAGGCTTTTTTGAGTTTGGGCAAGGACACAGGGGCCCCATGATCCCCTATTGCCCGGGGGCCCCATGAGTTGTCAGTCCGCCCCTGTACAAGATGTATTAAACAGGATTCTTTTGTGCCTAGAACATGTGCATTACAATATGTATGAGTTTTTCTCTCCAACACCACATCCACAGTTAGAATTTTGTTCAGGAAAAACTTTTCATCCTGCTTGATTATTGATTTGACTCTGTTAACCATTCGACAATCGAACGTTCCAAAAATTAAAATTTACAATCCAAATTCCTACTATTGTACTGTATAGCCAGCTTTAGATTACTTTAAACTGCAGATATATGTACAGCTATTATGCTAGAGAACAGAAGTGCCTAGACACAACCACACACCAGGGAATGTTCTTCTTTTTTCAGGATTCAAGGTAATTGTTTAGGGCAATGCTTAAGCACAATTAACATCTCTAGATGTTCCCTACATGACAGCAAATCTTGCCATCTTGGTCATTAAAATTCTTGACCAAGGGTAGAACATTACCTCCCTAAGGACTTTGACTGGTCCCTATTGGCCCTTTGCAGTGGATTATTCCCAAGACTGGCCCCTACAGTACTACATCTTCTTTTATTCTACCTTTTCCCACTTTGACTATTCTTTTAACCTGTTGCTCACTGCATCACTAAAAATAATCTCCCTTATTATGGCCTCTGCTCTAGCTCTGTGAGCTAAAATCATACACTAAGTAACACATTATGGAGGGACAAGCAGAGCTAGACACAACCTTATATTCCACCATATTACCATTTTCCAACACACCTTGCTGTGACAAACAAAAAGCTTCTGTTTATCAAACTCAACCACTACTAGGTAAAGCTACGTTCTTATGTTTTGAAAGCTATCTACACAACTGGGCTGTACAGATTGTAAGGAGATTTATGGTTGCATGTTTTCATCTCTTGGTGATGGACTATTCAATTTACCGTAAATGTTACAAAATTGTTTATTCTGTGATGGCATTATAAACCCTCAATAAAAAAATTATTGAAAACAAATTCCAGACCAAAACCAAAAATTATATCTGAACATTTTGAGACAATCCATACATCTCTTTATTTACCTTGCCAGGTATGAGAATGAGCTTGCTCTCCGACGCAGCGTTGAAGCTGACATTAATGGCCTCCGTAAAGTCCTGGATGACTTGACAATGTCCAAGTCTGATCTGGAATCTCAGTTTGAAGGACTTACTGAAGAAATTGCTCTTCTCAAGAAGAACCATGAGGAGGTAAAATCTAACAAAGTCCCATCAAGGCTCTCTGTTTCATGGTTTTAAGGTGTGAATCCAGCCAAAACAGTTTTATTTGTATAGGAAACAAATAGTGCAGCACTAATATAAAGTGCAATCAAGATTAAGTGTCAAAGAATATATCCAAAAAGGAAAAAAAAAATTAATTCACATATCCCAAAAGCTCAAGTGACTATAATGTTCACATTATCAAAAATAATATAATCCAATAAATAATTACTTAAACCTAAATATACATAAATAACTCAAAATTAATTAACCAGCAAAGTGAAAAAAGTGCTGTCTACAATAAAAAATAATTAATAAAGATATAAAGTTCATGAAAAAGCCCAATGCAAAAAAGGTGGGGGGGGGGGAAGACAAGCGGTCCAGGAGTCCACACTTTGAGTGTTACACTGTGTGAAAGATCCACAAGAGTAACAAATCTTCAGTGCCAATCCTCCACCAATATGCACGCACCAGAAACCAAAATGTAGACACTGCAGCCCAGAATGGACATCCCTTGGTATCTCTTCAACTTGGATTGGATCGCTGGCCAAGAATTACTCCCTGCTGGAGAATTGAAAGATAGCCACCATTCCAAACATGAACTTGGCGGTATGACGTCAGCATGTAAGGCTCCACCCAATGCGTTTTGTGCACATGCACATCTTCAAAGGGATACGCCTACCACAAATACGCCTATTTTTAGTTTTGGATATGATAGGGGAGGACTAGAAACTCTCTAAGGTTATTACTGTTCTGTTGACGATGGTTTCACCAGATGGGAAGTGAGGCGATACTGTACCTCCCACAGTTGAATAGGGGAAGGTTAGGACTCAAGTTAGCTTTTTATTGCTTTTAATGCCCCATTGCAGATTTTTGCTCACTTCCTAGCTAGTGAAACCATTTTCACTTAAAATGGGTTCTAATTTTCTCTCTACGTCCAAAACCAAAGAGGCATTTTGGCTGAACCTAAAAAACACTGAACTTAAGGCAGTTATAAAAGACACAAATAATGCAAATCTTCATTCAGAATATATATATATATATATATATTTTTTTTTTTTTTTTTTTTTTTTTAATGCAAGCAACATAAGTACCCAAATCTGACTTTGTATTAGACTGTTGTAATTTCTGCATATCAGAGCTTAGAGTGGGAAAAATGTAGCAAAAGGATCTACTACGTTTATGTGCTGATATGAAGCATACTGATAGATGGGAAAATTAGAATGACAAAGAGATGGGCTCATCACTGTGCTGATTGTGGTTCACTTTCTAGTCACAGGGTGGGAGTGGGTCAATAACAGCCTAGGCTCTGGGAAAGTGAGATGAATAATGCTAGCTGTCATTCAACCCAAAAGACTGTGAATGTATTGTGTTCAAAAAGAAGTACTGCGAAGAACAGCTCCAGATTGAAGATAAGTATTGCAGATGATTTTTTTTGTTGCATTTTATCTTTTAATGGGATTTTTTTTAAATTGTAGGATGTTAAAGGATCCCATGGAACATCTGTTGGGGATGTTAATGTAGAATGAATGCTGCACCAGGAAATAACCTTCTACAGGAGATGAATAATCTCAGAGAGCAATATGAGGTCATGGCTGAAAAGAATCGCAAGGAGGCAGAAGAACAATTCAAGAAGTCGGTAAGAAACATTTTCTCTTCATTAATATGTATTGAGGTTTCAATTTCTACAAAATTATACAGCTACCTAACACTAATAGAATCCGATGATTGGGACTTCTTGTATCTCAAAAAAAATAAGTTTCTAATCAGGTACTTTCACCTGGTTTTAGAAGTCAAAAGCTGACCAAAATACTATAAAGGTATTATATGTCCCAGAAGGCCACTGAGAGATCCAAGAAGAATGTGAGTGTTGCCAGCTAATGGACTATTCTCAATGGTGTAAACCATTTTATATCATATTACCATCTCTACTATTTTGTATTTTAAAAGAAAAATTAACAGGAGACTACGGTCTCTTTTAAGATAAATAAACCATTCAAAGGTTCTTACAAATGTTTAGCAATATTCGTATGTATGATCTTTGCATACTTCAACTTACAGCTATTTTTTTTTTTTTTTGACCCCAAGAGCGAAGGTTTGAAGAAAGAAATATCATCTGGAGTAGAACAAATACAGAGCAGCAAGAGTGAGATTTCAGATCTGAAGAAGTCACTTCAAGCACTGGAGATTGAGCTTCAGTCACAACTAGCCATGGTACAAAATTAAAGGCTTAACACATAATGGTTGACAGCGTTATTGTGCTGTATATAAGGTCCATAATCCATTTATTTTCTAATGAACAGAAAAAATCTCTTGAAGAAACTTTAGCACAGACAGAAGGACAATACTGTGCGAAGATTGCCCAGATCCAGGCTCTGATTATTGCTATTGAGGAGCAACTGGCACAGATCAGGGCAGACATAGAGTGCCAGACTGCAGAGTATGAGAATCTGCTAGACATCAAGACAAAACTAGAGAATGAGATTGAGACGTACCGCAGACTACTGGAAGGTGAAGGGTAAGAAAATTCAGTACATTGGGATGTGATATCACGGGAATGTTGCCTCTACAGAAACTGAAAGAGTTGGTATGCCATTGACAGAATTGACAATTTAAAAGTAGGATGACAGTACTAAAGTCATGAATTACTGCACCATATATTACTTGAGTCTTGTTATCCACGAGAAAAAACATAAACCTTCATCTTGTTCTATGGAGTCTATGGAGTCCTTGTACCCTAATGCAAAAAAAAAAAGCATCTATTGCAGACTCCTTAAAAGTGAAATGTAACAACACATTACAGTACTTTGAACCATGAATGACAACACCCGCATGGCATTTATAAGTTCTGTTTTTGTGTGGATATTATTTGGATTCTGCAATTTCCTTTATAAGTGCCCATACACTAAAGGTACAGCGTCCCTTGGTCAGTGCCTGGTACCCACGCTGCCTTACAACATAGATGGCAATACCAACAAGGAACAGCATAATAGAATACCCTGGGAACAAATAGTCAGTTGTTTTTGAAAAAGCTAACATAATATTTTCTTTTAATAATTGCAGTGGCACTGGACAAGGATCAGCATCCGGGGCAGGATCAGCATCCGGGGCAGGATCAGCATCCGGGGCAGGATCAGCATCCGGGGCAGGATCAGCATCCGGGCAGGATCAGGTGCAGTGAAAGGTGGAAGTACTTCAGGATCTCAAGGTGATTATATTTCATGGTCATCTAAAATGTTTAATTTATAAGCCCTTCTAAACAACAGAACAACTATTGTAATCATTAAAAATAGAAATATAATTGGGCCATGTATAGAAATGGCAGGTTTTTGGAGTGATGCCTGCAACCAAATCATTCTTTTTCATTGTAATTGACCCAGTTATGCTTAGGTATTTTAATAGGGGGAAGTTTTGTTTTAATTACTCTAGATCAACACAGCCAAATATTAAGCTACTTCCATGTTATGTTTACTATGGTCTATTGCAGCCTTTCTCACCCTTTTTGTCTCAGAGGAAACTCTTGGGGAAACCCAGCCAAAGCCAATTCCAATTCATTAGGAATCACTAGAAAATACATTGTTGGCCAGAGGGAGGAATGCCCCCCTTATGGTGGTGGTCATAATAGCTCTGCCAAGTGGCATTGACCCCAAAACTGTACAGACACCATCAAATAGGAGTTCAGTCAGCCACAGCACAAGGATCCCCAAAAACCTTTGAAGGATCCTTAAGGTTCCATGGTACCCTGGTTGACAATTACTAGGCTAATGCATGCAAGTAATTATAATCACATTTTTGGATTCTATTTCAGGACAGGTTTTGCATTTTATAGCTGGATTTTAAAAATAACAGTTCTTAAAGTGTTACTAAACCCAGGACCCTGCATTCACTGTATAGACCCAGCACCCTGCATTCACTATATAAACCCAGGACCCTGCATTCACTGTATAGACCCAGCACCCTGCATTCACTGTATAAACCCAGGACCCCGCATTCACTATATAAACCCAGGACCCTGCATTCACTGTATAGACCCAGCACCCTGCATTCACTGTATAAACTTAGGACCCCCGCATTCACTGTATAGACCCAGCACCCTGCATTCACTGTATAAACCCAGGACCCCGCATTCACTATATAAACCCAGGACCCTGCATTCACTGTATAGACCCAGCACCCTGCATTCACTGTATAAAACCCAGGACCCCGCATTCACTGTATAGACCCAGCACCCTGCATTCACTGTATAAACCAGGACCCCGCATTCACTATATAAACCCAGCACCCTGCATTCACTGTATAAACCCAGGACCCCGCATTCACTATATAAAACCCAGGACCCTGCATTCACTGTATAGACCCAGCACCCTGCATTCACTGTATAAACCAGGACCCCGCATTCACTGTATAGACCCAGCACCCTGCATTCACTGTATAAACCCAGGACCCCGCATTCACTATATAAAACCCAGGACCCTGCATTCACTGTATAGACCCAGCACCCTGCATTCACTGTATAAAACCAGGACCCCGCATTCACTGTATAAACCCAGGACCCCGCATTCACTGTATAGACCCAGCACCCTGCATTCACTGTATAAACCCAGGACCCCGCATTCACTGTATAGACCCAGCACCCTGCATTCACTATATAAACCCAGGACCCCGCATTCACTATAAAAACCCAGGACCCTGCATTCACTATATCTGGTCTCCCACAGTACACAGAACATAGAAATGCAATTATTTTAGTAAATATAAACTGCTAAATACCTTTTCTCATCAGCAGTTAGAGCAGTCTTGTGACTTCTATCAGTATCCAGCAGAGCACTGGTTACAGCTTGTAGGAGGAGTTTTTCATTCTCCTGTAGGAGGATGCAGGACACCTGACCTCTGTCTGGACAGTGCTGATTGGTCCTGCGCTGATCACATGCACTCTCCAAAGAAAAAAAAAAAACTATCTTGCAATGCACACCAAACTGAGCATGTGCAGCTTGCCCCCAAGCCTCTGTTCTATCAGGGGACATTTAGGAGACACTGGAAGAAGGGGAGGATCAGAGAGGACAGGATCCTTTTTACATAATGTGGAAGATTAACCCCTTAGATTCCACAGTGAGTATAACTAGCATGCTTTATTGCACATACAAACAGATATTACTGTTGTAAGTTTAGTAGCACTTTAATACTGACTTGGATAAATAAATCCTATACCTTACCAACTACTGCACTGAATGTAGGGCAGCTTATTCATTTCGTATGTAAGTGATTTAGCAGGGAAGAACATAGTGAGTTTACAGCCTGTGCCGCGTACAAGTACAAGAGGGTCAACTAGCATTTGTCTCATAATAAGACCAATGATCAGGATAGAATTCATCTCTTTGTTCCCCTTCTGATCATCTGGGCCCCTCTGCAATGTATGCACTGGCAATGGTAAGGTCAGAGGAAGGACTGTCTCTGGTGATGGAGGTGGTGATGCACAGGGTGGTGGATAAGGGAGTATCACCAGTCCTGCTGTACGGGGCCAGGCTAGAAGGGGGGCCCAGGCAGCTGGGTGCATTAGATGTGGGCAGGGAGGGTGATTGACATGTCAGGGGGGCAATTACTTGAACCAATCCCTTGTATGACTCTCTCTGCAGCAACTGAAAGCTGGCTTCTTCTCCTCTCCCTCCTGCAGGCAGCTGCTGCAGGGAGCCCTACAGGGGATCGGTTCTTGTAATTGCCCCCGCCACACCCATTGCCCTCCCTTTGCACTATACATTCCCCCCTACTGCCCAGGCCCATGTGCTCCCACCTCCACAGTGCTACCAGCTTCCCTCCTCTCCTTTCCACCGGCAACTGCAAGCACACAATAGGGTAAATGAGGATGAAGAGTGGGGGAAGGGTCCACTAAATATGTTACCAGCCCCTTTGTTTTCTGAATGAACACAATGAGTGATCAGTAGCAATCACTCACTGTGTTCATTCATAACTGAAGCCTGGTAAACTGTGTGTTTTTGTTTTGTTTTGTAAGGGGGAGGGCCCTGTCAGGTTGGCTGTATGGGGCCCCGTGGTTTCTATAAGCAGCCCTGGTGATGCGTCTGCAGAGACTAAAATAGTGGATGCTCAGTGTAGAGTCAAAAACGTAGTTGTAACCTGGTTTACAGCCACAGCATACTCAATGTCTCAAGACTATCTAGGTGGCAAGATGAAATTGACAAACAAGGAGCAATCTTGACACTAAAGGGGTTTTTAAATTCCTTTGGGCAGGGGTCCTCCGGCAGTTAGACCTTCCATTGCGTATAAGAACACTGGTTTTAGAAACACATAAAAAAAATAATCTCTCTATTCTCCTTTATGTTTAGGAACAAAACGAACAAGGAGAGTGAAAGAGATCGAGGAAGTCATTGAAAACGGAGAAATTGTGGCAACCAGAATTAAGGAAAGAGAAGTGCCCATTGATGATTAGAGGTGTATTCAAATAACCAGCATTCTCACCAGATGTGTCTGCTCAAGCAAAATGGAATCCTGTAAAAAAAAAACTTCTTACGTGTTCTGTATTCTGCCTAGAAGTGGCCACATAATCGTTGTGATGCAGCAATCTGTAGGTGACACATGTCTCAGTGCAGTTGTATTGCTCTTTTCGATAGTAATTGTACTTTAGAGTTCTATCTTTTGCTTTGTTTTGCTACTCAAAATAAACTCTTCCAATGCAAGTAATACATGGTCTTCCTCCTTTGAGAAAGGATTGCATTTTTTTAGTAGTACTACAATGAACATAGCTTTGATCGTTCAATATTAGAAAAACAAGTAGATGATTAAGCTGAACTCCAAATGTGGCTCTGTATTCTATAACATATTATTATTATATATTTATTATTACACAATATTTATATAGCGCCAACAGTTTCCTCATCGCTTTACAATATAAAGGGAGACAATACAGCAACAATACAGTTCAATACAAGAGGGATAGGAGCAGGGGCGGACTGACAACTCATGGGGCCCCTGAGCAATAGGGGATCCCGGGGCCCTTGTGTCCTTGCCCAAACTCAAAAAAGCCTATAAAAAAGGTACCAGGGGCATCTCATGGGGCTCCCTACTGACCCCGGGCCCTCGGACAGTGCCCGAGTTTCCAAATGGTCAGTCCGCCCTTGGATGGGGGGCCCTGCTCCTTGGAGCTTACAATCTATAACATATCCTCATATGTATTTTTAAAATGCAAACAGTAGCTGAATCTGATCTGGCACTAGCCTCTTGCAATCCTCATGAGCAGCATGGTTTAGACTTGGGGAATGCAGTTCGGGAAACCATTCAGGAAAGCTGCAATGCCCATGTGCTAGAAAAAAGAACATGCTGATAGTAGGAGAGAGTAAAGTGAAAGTGAAGTGAGATTGTGGGTGTCCTGCTTCTCCTTTACTGCCCATTCATAGATGGTGATGGGGATAAGGCCTATAAGTGTTACCTAACTGCGGAGAGGAGCATCAGGTCTCCTGCCCTTTCAGACAGCTGTGCTGTGTGGCAGAGAAGTGTAAATTTCAGCACTTGATGGGCAGAAATACAAAACTTTTGGCAGCTAAAACAAACTTTATATATGTATTTAATTTGTGTATATGGTTAAAAAGAGTGTAACAAGAAAACTGCAGTAATCAAGGGCTAGTACACCATCGATAGTGGAGGCATCTGCCTTCATGTTCTCAGATTCTTCCAGATGTTGGGGAAGCCAGAGTATGTTGCTCTACAGAGAGGCATTGTGTAGTGGGAGCCTTGACGGTAGGAACACAAGGTACATTTTCCCACTAGAAAGAGTTTTTGACCAGTTAGAGCAAGCAATAACAAGCTTCCCCAGTAAATATACATGTAGTGCATAGTTAGAGCCGGAGAGGCTAGGCTTTATTTTCATGGGTTATTGACTCAAAGAAGCTGCCCAAGTTATTGAATACGGGGAAAACTGATAATGATTATTCTTATGCTAGAAGTGTATTAAATATGTTGTGGCCAGTTTGAGACCTACCTACCTGTGTGGATTCTCATAAAAAAACATTACTTGTCTACTCTAAAAGATGCCAAAAGCAAAGCTGCTGACATCACAGTGTATACAGCTATAAAACAGTATTTACCCCTTTATGTAGGTATCAATCAACCATTATAAAATCCATTACAGAACAGCCAACAAGCTTTTCTTGTAGAATCGGTTAGAGTTAGGGTTGGGTTCACTTATGCCATCACAGTCATCACCTTACACAGAAATCTTTGAGGAGTCTTGCCATAACACCAACTTTCCTACCCAAGAAGGTCATGGGGTGCCTCATGCACTAGGCTGATTAGCAGGCTGGCCCAAATCCTAGGGGTTTCACTTCTTCAGTTGGCTGTAGATAGCTTGCCCTTGTTCCATTTTTAGAGGCCAACTGTTAGTTGACCTTTGGATCCTCCTATAGGGGAGCAGTGTCCAGTTCCAGTTCTAGCAGCCATTTCTAGCTCATTACCCCACTTTCAAATGTTTCCTGTTTCACAAGATATGCACTAAAAGCTATGTGAACTGCAATATGGCAGTCACTTCCCCCCTGAAATATCAAGCACATTCTCATGGCAGCCTTGAAATTTTGGCCTTGTATACCATCCCTGTAAACCCTTCAGGGTATGAGCAAGATTTCCAGCATTCAGGGAAAGGACCACTCACGCCAGCAGAAAGTTGAGCATGATCTGACAATGAAAATATGAAAGAGTGATGAGCACATACATGCACAAAGGCCATATCTACTGAGAAGTGATAGTCGTTGGGACAGAAGATTCCACATATTGCTATTCAGTTCCATGGATAACTAGGGCGCTACTTCCCCTAACAATTAGTCAATCTCTAACAAGGGCTCAGATTTCAAACAACCGCATCAGATTTCTTCTGATAAATACTATGGTGAAAGGTATAATTTACTCCTCGTTGGACAGTCTCTTACTTTCAGTCAGACTTGAAAACAATCAGTTATTGCTCAGGTTTGTCTTAAGAATACGGATAATGTTCCGTGGTACCAGTTCCTTGGGTGCCCTGTGCACTGAAGCCCAACTCTGAGCTCACCAGCTCCTTCCGTCCCCCCCTTTCCACATATTGAAGCATCTCTGCAGCTGTAAGGGCTCGCTCATGCTTGCCACATGCTAAAAATGTCCATTTTAGTGTGCAGTCTGCATTGTGTGCCAGCATGGGGGGGGCACACAACACAAAGTACTGTTTATCTTTTTTTTTTCTTTGATTTGAATTTCAGTGAGCTCCAGTGCATTTTTCTGCAATGCACGACCACTCCCACCTGATGCCACATAGAAAACAATTTTTGACCATTGCAGAAAACCTTCAGTCGTTGTACATAGTATTGATAAGGTCCAAAAAAAACACCAACAAATATGCATACTTTTTTTACTAGTCTCTTCTTAATGATGTGACACCACTCTCTGCAGCATACTTTTGCAAGGCCAGGGTGGAGGGCAGAGCATTCATGCCCTGGACTCACTGGAATTGAGTCAAATGATACTGGGGGTCCTTCAATCTGGAGACGAGCACAACTGGATCAGTGGGTGTATAAGGCTGGCCATACACAAGTCATTTTTTTTTCGGTTAACCAGCAGGTTGAATGAAAGGAATTTACTCAATTTCCATTAAGTGAAGTCTACAATATCGGTAGATGTTGGGTTCCCAACATTCACCCCTTTTGAATACAAATGCAAAAATCACAGACACTCGATAGGAATGATCTCTCTCCTATACAATCTCTTAACTACTAAACGCACACCCCACCCGTTGTCATGTTTCTAAATGGGAATAGGACCTGCAACAATCTCTAAATCAATCTCAATAGGATCAAATCTGAGTCGCCACAAAATCATGTTCTAGAAATGTAGTAGTGTTGGAGATTAGCTATATTATTGAGTATTGCTCAGATGGTACATAGTCCTCAGAAGACTAGCATGCCTTCACCATCTCTTTTGCCTATTGTTTTCAAGGTTGCCCAGAACTTCACACGTGGTGGTCATACTCATTGGCCCAATGATTTTGGCTGCAAGTACACCACCTGCTTGGTGCTCTTTTACACCTTTATTAAATCACAAACCAAAGGACAATACCAAAGAGTCTGGTGCTAAGTCTCTAGTAACATTGTCACCAACTGAACATGTGAACCACAGCTTCTGTAGGAAGTCACTTGGAGTAGTGAACCACAGGTGAAAAAAAACAGCGCTCAGGACCAATCTGTACCATAAATGTTGTCCTAATAGTAGAAATATATGCTCATGGCTCCCGACAGTGAAATAACTTTCCAAGTCACAGTTTATTCTTATGACCCACATTCTAACTCCTGCCTAAAGCCTTGCAATCACCAAGTATCCCTTTCCCAGAAGTAAACATGAGAGTGCATTGGACCTTGATAAATGAGAAGTTGATGGCCCACTTACAGAATACCATGCCCAGGTTTAGAAAAGTCTGGGAACCCTGGATCACAATGTTCTTCCCGAGCAACATTGATTGCAGACTGGTGACTTTGTGAAAGCCCTATCTGTGTTATGATATTCCCAGCTACCTGGAAGCCCCCCGCGGCCCGGGGGGGCCGGGGGGGAAAAGGGGGGGCCCCCCCCTTTTTTTGGGGGGGGGCCCGGGGGGGGGGGGGGAAAAAAAAAGGGGGGGAAAGGGGGGGGGTTGGGGGGGGCCCCGGGGGGGGGGGGGGGGTTGGGGGGGGGGGGGTTTAAAACCCCCCCCCCCCCAAAAAAACCCCGGGGGGCCCCCGGGGGGGGGGGGGGGAAAAATGGGGGGGGGGAACCCCGGGGGGGGGCCCTTAAAAAAGGGGGGGGGCCCCCCCCGGGGGGTGTGGGGGGGGGGGGGGGGGGGGAAAAAAAGGGGGGGGGGGGGGGGGGGGGGGGGGGGGGTGGGGGGGGGGGGGGGGGGGGGGTTTTGGGGGGGGGGGGGGGGGGGGGGGGGGGGCCCGGGGGGGGGGGCCCCCCCCCCCCTTTTTTTTTTTTTTGGGGGGGCCCCCGGGGGGGGCCCGGGGGCCCCCCAACCCCCGGGGGGGGGGGGCCCCCGGGGGGGGGGGGGCCCAAAAAAAAAAACCCGGGGGGGGGGGGTTTTTGGGGGGGGGGGGGGCGGGGGGGGGGGGAACCCTTGGGGGAAAAAAGGGGGGGGGGCCGGGGGGGGGGCCCCCGGGGGGGGGGTTTTTTTAAAGGGGGGGGGGGGGGGAAAAAAAAAAAAATTTTTTTTTGGGGGGGCCCCCCGGGGGGGGGGGGGGCCCCCCCCCCCGGGGGGGGGGGGGGGGGGGGGGGGGGGGGGGGGGGGGGGCCCGGGGGGGGGGGGGGGGGGGGGGTTTCCCCCCAAAAGGGGTTCCCGGGGGGGGGGCCCCCCGGGGGGGGGGGCCCCCCCCGGGGGGGCCCCCCCGGGCCCCCGGGGGGGCCCCCCTTTTTTTCCCCCCCGGGGGGGGGGGGGGGGGGTTTTCCCCCCCCCTTTTT